TCCTACCCCCGATCGCTTCCCCAGCCCTTGGCGGCCACGTGCGATTCACGTGCGCGGTGCGCGAGCAACCGTTCACCACACTCATGCATCGCGCACGTGAATCGCACGTGGCCGCCAAGGGCTGGGGAAGGCGATCGGGGATAGGACGAAGGCCGAAAACGGTGAAATAACCAAGTTGGAATGTGGGCAGTATTGCATACCATTCGGAAGTACTTTTTACTGGGAATCGACAGTGCACATCTCAGTTCTGAAGGATCACATGGAAAAGCAAAAAATGAGATCATTTCACAAGGGCATGACGAGGAGGATGTTTGGGGCCACACCACGGAAGGAACGCTCACTTGCGACCAGTTTTCCATATAATTCCTACAGACAAGTAAGCGTAGTACACGAAAGTTAAGGAATTTCTTCGCGTCCTTCTCAGGTTCCTTTGAAAAATCTCTTGGAAATTGGGACATGTCACAAAATAGGCCAACTAGTCCCGCTGAAATCTGATCTGCGATTTGCATGTGAACGCGAGGGAAGGGAATTTTGGGCTCAGAGACTACACGTCTCACCGTTCAGGGCTCTGAAATGAAATAGAAATCCTGGAAACTTCAAAAAAATTTCAATTAATCTCGCAATGTAATAGACCAAGTCGAGTACGTGGCGCATTCTGGGGCAAGTCTTGAAGCCCATCTTTCTATATAACGATCATGCTTCACTCATGTGATTATGTACGCACCACATCTAATCAGTTACTTCTCGAGGTGAAACTCGAGTGCATGGCGCAATCCTATATGGGCTTTTTAAAATTTGAAAGCATATTCTTATAGAACTCGACGAGCTGAGTTCAAAGTATCTTTCAGATTTTGGAAACTCAATTTTGAACCGAGTTATAACGAATTCACGAAATTAACGAGGATTCGCGTTATTCGCGTGAATTTTCGATTTCAAACGGCGAGTACTGTACCTTTAAAGATGCATGCTCAGCACATTGCGCTATATGCAGAGCTTCGGGTATTGCAACGACTTCCTTTTGATTTCGCGTCGGCTGTACACGTTAGTAATTCAGTGAGGGATTTTTAGTGAAAAGAGCAGACAATTCGAAAGGATTAGCGATCTGATCGGATTGCACATTTCACTGAAGCCTTTTATGCTGCGTTGTGATAGTTGGCGCTAGCAAACCAGTTCTAATGGTAATTCTTCGTGATTTTTTTGAGGAAGGGAGTGACAAAATACGATACTTTCGAAATTTTTACTACTCATTGCCAAGCTGTAGCATCAGAACAACAAGAATGTTATTCCGTGTGAACCCAAACAATTTCTTGCTTAAAACATCCATAAAACAATTTTTAGTTATGGGCATTGCGATGATACTACTATCCTCACTTGTCACAACTCTGACGGCGATTTCTATGAGTGCTATCTGTACAAATGGAGAAATGAAAGGTGGAGGATTATACTATTTGGTGAGCTGCCACATGTGCATTCCCTGGACCTATTAATAATCTAACTCATTGGATATTCTTTTATTCAGATTTCGAGAACCCTTGGCGCTGAATACGGCGGCTCAATTGGACTGATATTTTCACTGGCTAATTGCGTTGGTGGAGCCCTTCATATAGTCGGATTCGCCGAGACAGTAAATCAGCTCTTGCTTGAGAGAGAATTTAAGTTTGTCGATGGACAAATATGGACATTCGTCTCATATCGTAGTAGTTAACCACGAAGTTTGCAAGAACAACTGGTACCGATGAGCGTCATAAGTACATATAGATGGACTCCGCTTTAGTAGTTCAAAGCAGTCTATATGCATAATGACATTATTAGCATAATGCGTAATGACACTATATCCTGGCTTCACTTCACTTTCATAGGCACAGAAACACCCCAAAACTCGGAACCCTGAAAGTTTTTTTTCCCTGGCAGCAGATATCTCAAACAGAGAGACTTGTATATTCCTAATATATTTCACATCGGCAGGTTCAACTCATAGTTACATTTCGCTAATCTAATCATGACATTGTGAAGCAGATTACGTGGGATTGCGTCGTTCGTTGAAAAACAGATTCTCCTTCGTGTTCTGCCTCGCAGAAACTTTCAGGAAACATAGTAGATAAGACTGAGAATAGCTGGTTGTCGGATGTGTTCAAGTACATGCAAAGCAATCTCAGTCGTGCTGCACTTACTCGCCCATATTATATACACCCCTGAGTACATTGCAAAGCTCTTCAGTCCTTGTCGACAGCCTCTTCCACTGAGAACGCTACTTACCCTCTGGACGATTCATGAATGATTTCTTCTCGTCGACCAAATTCCACCCTAGAACAACAATTTCCCTCATTGGAACTATAAGCACTTCTTTTTGGTTTACTTCCTCACCATGTCCTTTCTAGCGAGCTAGAGCTATGTCTTTCTATCAGATTAAGGGTTCTCTTACATCTAACCCCTTTCCACATCTTCACTTGAAAACAGGACGGGTAGCATGAATAGCTATACTTATGGTGGACCGAAAAATTCGAGATAGGTGGTCCAACTCAGACGCTTCTGCTAGTGAGGTCGACCTCCCTGATTTGCTGGATCTCTGTTGGTGGCGTAGAACTCCCAGTCACGTAGGATTTCGCACCGATGATCAACAAAAGGTAGAACACCGGACGGTGAGGCAGTTACGTATTGCTCAGAACTAGTTAGCCTGCAAGCAGCAAATCTTGCCCTCCTTGACTTCACATAACTGCGACTCATGCATTAGGCGAAATGATTTGCATATTTGGCCTACTAAATCAACTGAGGAATTCTATACGAAGTTATACGAAATTTAGTGGCATGCACGGCTTTGATGACAATAATTGTTGTGTCGCCCAAGCTCGAAAGTAAGATGCAGCAGATACTGCTTGTGCCTCTCGTCTTATCCGTTCTAAGTTTCGTCATCGGGTCACTTATTTCTACCACGAACAAGGTTGCTCATGGGTACACTGGCTATCGATGTAAGTTTTCACGAAATGTTCATTTTTTTACTCTGCTCAGTGTTACAATTCTGTGCTCTGGATTGGGCCACGCGGATTCTTTATATAAATGATATGCCTGTGTCCGTGCAATAGCAACAGAACAGTGTATTGGAAAAACACAACAAGAATATTGAAAGCAGGATAAATACCCCAGACCCTATATTCGGGGCTTTTATATCTCCTGAGGTTAATGCTCACGGCCACCCTGATTCTTGAAGGTCATGTACATATTTGGCGGAAATCGTAAGAAACCGCCTGTTGCGCAAAGAACACCTTGGGAAGTATTTCTCCAACGCAAGGGGAGGGGTCGTAACCTCAAATACCAAAATTTGAAGGTGCCAAGACATGGCAGTGGTAGAGAAGGACAAACTTTCAATTACGACTGCGACAACGCATCACAAACGATCGAATGACTCATCCCATACAAGATTCTCACTAAAGCCTAAGAAACTGAATTACCGACCTTTAATTATTAACCCATTGCGGACCGCGTGCTGCACCATGTGCAGCACGCCACCACGCGGAGAAGGATAGTAATCTTCGATTTTTTCAGCATTTTGCTAAGTTACAAAATCAGCAGTTTACTTTTTCAGACACAGGATATATCAAGTATTGCGTACTGGTTAAATTTTCGATAGATTATTGGCCACTGATAAAAGAGATGACAAAAACCTACGGAGGTGCAATTATAACGGCGGTCCGCAATGGGTTAAAATGATCATTCAGAAGAATTTTATTATTTTTTCGAAAGCGTCTAATCTTCTAGTTTCTAATTAGCCTTAGAAATCTGCAAAAAGTTGATTATGAAGGAAAGTTATGAACGTTTGAATGACGAAAACTCGCGCGTTCTCAAAAATCGGACCACAAACTCCTGAAAATGGAACATCGAGACAATTTTTCGAGTCTTTGGAAATTTATGCGGCCCTTTTTCGGAAGCTATTCCTCTAGTTTCTAATTAGCCTTAGAGATGTGCAAAAGTTGAAAAAAAATTGAATGAAAGGAAGTCATGAAAAGTCGCATGTGCACAAAAACGGAGAAACGGGACGATTTTTTGTAGAATTGAACATATGCAACATTTCAAAAACTTTGCAGAAAGAAAACAATTTGATTTTTTAAATTTTCGAGTCTCATCTCATGAAAGCGCTTCTGAAGAAGGATATAACCTTTTAGATGAAGACTGATGAAGTGGATTACTTGTTTCATTTTTTTTATCACCTGTATCACCTGTCGTCCCGTTGATCATCGAATTGCTCGAGCGGGCGCCAGCAACGTCTCCATTCGTCCCTGTCGCGTGCAAGAGTTGTCCAGTGGACCCTCCTCGCTCGAGGGACACGAAGTCCTTCATTCCTTTCGTTCAGAGCTTTCGTGAAGAAGTCTGACCATCGGGCCGGCGGTCGTCCAGGTGTTCGTTTGACGTCCCGAGGGATCCAGTCGGTAACCGCTCTGGTCCAACGGTCATCGCAAAATCGCATGACGTGTCCGGCCCACCTTATCTTCGATTCCTTGGCGAAAACGGCAGCGTCCCTGATCTTCGATCGTTGGCGTAGTTCGGCACTCCGGATTCCCCTCTGCACTTGCGTGTATAGGGTTACTCCTAGCATCGTCCTCTCGACAGCGCGTTGGATAACGCTGACCGCATGCTCGTCCTGCCTGCGCAGAGTCCAAGTCTCTGAGGCGTAGGTTAGGGCAGGAAGGACAGCGGAATCGAAGAGGTGGGCACGGAGCCGGATGTTCTTCGTCTTCTTCACTACTCCCTCGATGTTCTTATACGCTCCCCAAGCCGCATCACGATTCTTCCTTATTACTTTCTGGAGGCTAGATCGTTCATCATATTGATTTCCCGACCTAGGTACACGTAGCTGGAGCATTCGGTGATGTTCGTTCCGTTGAGCGTGAATGGGGCATCAGGAACCAATCCGTTTCTCATAAACATCGTCTTCGTTAGGTTCAGCTGTAGACCGACCTTACCACAGGCGCAGTCGAAATCAGCCAGCATTCGCTCCGCTTGCTCGATGTTCGGCGTTATAAGAACGATGTCGTCAGCAAAACGAAGGTGGTGTAGTTGCCGGCCGTCGACCTTCACGATCCCATCTCTTCCCATTCCAGTTGACGCATGACGTTCTCGAGAGCGGCGCTGAAGAGTTTAGGGCTGCGCCCATGCGTTCGCCCTGCTCGAACCGCCTCTCTTGAGACAGCGACACTTCACTCTTCCGCATGCCAGACCTCCTTGTAAGATGGTGAGATTCTGGTCGTAAAGTTGCTGTAGAGCTCACGAAGAATCTTGATGTACTGAGTAGGGACGCCCTGGTTGCCCAAGGCTTCGATGACCGCTTCTGTCTCCACAGAGTCGAAGGCCTTCTTCAAGTCGATGAACGTGAGACATTAGCGATGAATGTGAGACAGCGGCATCTTGTACTCCCGTGAAACTTCAATGAGTCTCGTAACCGTGTGGATATGGTCGATCGTGCTGAACCCTCTTCGGAACCCTGCTTGCTCGCATGGCTGTCCTTCATCTAGTATTCTGCCGATCCTGTTAAGGATGACTCGTGTGAATAGCTTGTAGATTACAGACAGCAGGCAGATTGGGCGATAGTTGCCAATGTCGTCCAAGTCTCCCTTCTTGTACAGCAACACGGTCCTGCTGGTTTTCCACGGAGTGGGTACCTTGCATTCCGACAGGTAGCGCGTGAAGAGTCGAGCCAGAGTTCTGATGATAACTGGCGGCGCATTCTTCAGATGTTCCGGTTTGACCCTGTCGAGACCGGGTGCTGTACGATTCTTCACCGACTTGATGGCGTGTCGGACTTCGGAAGAGAGTACTGAGGGGACGACGTATCCATCCTGTTGCAGTTGATAAGTGGGCAGATGGACATGGCTATCGAAGAGATCCGAGTAGAAGTCGTGGATGACTTTCTCCATTGCCCTTCGGGATGCAGTAACTGTTCCATCCGGACGTCGGAGGCAGGTCATCTTGGTCTTGTAGCTGGCAAAGCTTCGGCGGGCATTGCGGATGCTCCTCCCAGCCTCTGCTGCTTCAGCTAATACTGCTGCTCTTCGCTCCTTGAGATCTTCCTTTATCGCCTCTCTGCATAGCTTCGCAAGCTCGGACGTGAGTTGGTGATTGCCTGCAGCTCGTGCGGCTCCACGCTGGCGTATCAGTTCGAGAGTTTCCGTAGACAGACGTCCCTTGGTGACTTTCAAACTCTCTGCCTTCCTGCCACTCTCGTGAAGGTGTTCAACGAGCCGATGATATTCCTCGTCGATGTTTTCGATAACGGAATCCTCCCATAAGCTGACAAGAGAAGTGAAGTGATCCCAGTTGATGACTGTCCTGGGGCTTCGCTTCCTGAACTTTGAGGCTCTCTCAACACGCATCGAAAGTGGAACTTTGCGCGGAGGAGCCGCCTTATAAAAAGAGAATTGATAGTTTGAAAAAAGACATGGTAGGTTTCTGCAAGTAGAATCTCTACGATTACTACCGTGCATAGGTTTACGCGAAAATCTGGACGCTACACCCATTTAATGAGTAGAATTTAATGTTGGCTCGATTGCGTACTTTCTTTGAGCGAGAAAAAGCGCGCGACATACCAGTGTCCACCATCTCTCCGTATATGTAGGTGATGGACCATACTTCGATGCTGGGCATGAAATTATGTAGAACGACACAACAGCTTATACAGGGGGAGAAGGTCGTACTGATGCTCTCCGAAAAGGA